ATTATCAATATTCAAAAGACAATTCAAATCAGAAAGCATCAAATCCCAATCATCGTACTTTTCCAGATTTGTTGCTTACTTACGGAGGCAACTGTAATGGATATTTAATCAAATTCGTGCTTACAATGGATTCATTCATCCCCATTCTTGTGAGCTCATCGATCAGCTTTCTCTCTGATATGTGGTTCCCAATGCCTACTCTTCTCCTTATCTGAGTTTCAGCTTGCTGTTTAAGGGTCAAAAAATATGCACACGTTGGAAAAGAATAGGGTACGAGAAAGATGAGAAAGAGAACGAAAATGATATCTTATCTAGAACTCAGTTGCTTCGTTTCTTTTCTTGTAGGAAAGACGACAATGACATAGTTTCTTCTAACCTTAACTTCATTCGCCATCTCACCAGTGAGATTGACTTGTTGCTGTATTCCAGACTTTGCCGCGTCCATTGTGGCTGCGTTGAATAGTCTTATTGCTTCACGAACATGCTCCTCAGTAGCTTCGTGGCGCCTGAATTTGACATTGTAGTTTTCGTTATTAAAGTTCTAGTCCCCATTCCTAATAAAAAAAACATCACAACTGGAAGTCCTAACTCCTAAGCATCAGTCTGTGTCACTAATACAGTAATACTTACAGTTGCATTTTTGCAAGGGCCTCACTCAACCTCACTATAGCTTCAAGCTGCCTTACAGTGATTGGGACTGCAGCAGCCTCTCCAGTTTCATTTGCTAGCTGTCTCATGTCCTAAAAGAAAATTCGTGAAGATAACGTCAATTGGAACCTTCTGAACAATATACCAATATGCAGACCCCGTTAATGAGAAATCAAATGGAACTCCCAATAAAAAACTTTTAGCATGATCTACTTCTTTGAGCACCATGTGAGAATTTTTGGGTTGGCATCTGTTCAATCCTCAATACAATAAGTTAACAGCAAGAATACCTGTCTGATTTTCACATAATTACTCTGCAGCTCTCTCGACGCAGTTTCTGATAAACGGGGGTGGCATTCAGTTCGACAATATTGTATGTACCTGCAAATGTTGCAAAGAAAAAAAATTCATCTCATTGATATTTCAATGGCAACATTGGATAATGTATGTATGAACTTGTGCTTCAAATTGATATACCTCTTCAGCCAATTCTCTTCTTTAGAAACTACTCTACCTTCACCCAGTGCTGCACCAGCAGACGCATGAACCTTTATGATATGACTTGCTATAATCTGTCATTGAAAAGCTGAGTCAAGCTACTGATGGAAAAGGAAGTACAATCAAAGTGGACCAGCAGTGACACTCAAAGATTAGTACGCATTTGGTGTTGAAATGCCCACCAAAATTAAAACAAGAATTGTACTCCCAAAGTACTTAAGCAAAACACTTCGAACTAGCAATATTAAAAATACCTTATCCTGACTGTACATCCTGATATCTTTAACAATGAATATCAAGTCAAATCTCGAAAGAATTGTCGTCTGCAGATCGATATTATCCTGAGCAGTCTGAAAGAAAGCAAGAGTGTCAGTTAGTATTCAAAGAAATCACAAGTTGCATGTGAAACTCTTAAAATGGATCAACTAGGGTGACAGCGTACCTTAAGATCGTCATAACGTCCAGATGGAGGGTTAGCAGCTGCAAGCACAGAGGTTCTAGAATTAAGAACGGTTGTTATTCCTGCTTTGGCAATGGATATGGTTTGCTGCTCCATGGCTTCATGAATAGCAACCCTAAGCCACAACAATGTAGTCTATTAGAACTCCATGAAAAAACTAAGTTAAGCACATCAAGATCTCTATCCAGCTTGCATTACCTATCCTCTGATCTCATTTTGTCAAACTCGTCAATACAGACAACACCTCCATCCGCTAAAACCATGGCTCCTCCTTCAAGATAAAACTCACGCTGGGTTGCACCGAGAAATTCTAATTAGAGACATTTTCATATCAAAGGAAGGACAACTACCTCACTAATATTTTGTGAAAGGCATTGCAAACCTAGAGACAACAAGTATCCGTAAATTAAAATCAAAAGAAGATCAAGAACTTACAGAACTGCTATCCCTGATAACAGAAGCTGTAAGACCAGCAGCTGATGACCCTTTTCCTGAAGTATATACGGCCACCGGAGCTGTCTTCTCGACAAACTTGAGAAACTTTACAGAAGAGTTGAAATCAAATCAGCATGTGCTATTTGTAGAATGGAAGAAGAGCATAAACTGTCTTATTCTCACGTGGCTAGGAAAATAGGTCTTAAACTAACAGAGATATTTTCTGCGAAAAATAGTATACTGCCACTTATTTTGTGAGCCCATAAAATAAATATAAGAGAACCAACCTGTGATTTAGCAGTAGATGGATCCCCCAAAAGTAAGACATTAATATCACCTCTTAGCTTCACACCATCAGGCAAATGCTGCTCACATGAAGATGGGTTGTTAGTTGTTACCATCAATAAACCACACAAGTACTAAAAGACAAATTCAGGATATACCTTTCTAGATCCCCCGAACAGAAGACACGCCACAGCCTTCTTTACATCTTCATGACCAAATATAGAGGGAGCAATTTTCGAGCATATATTTTTATAAGCATCTTCTGAAGCAAACCTCTTGAACTCTTCTATCTGCAAACATATGAAAAATGGTTGAAAAATCATATTACTGGTTCCATAACAAAGCCTACTTCAATTAAAATATGACAAAAACATTTAGCATCTAGTGCTTGAATATATACTGCACAATTTCATGAAGACCTATATTTTAACTAACTAACAAGAGCTACGCATGTTGAAAACAATAGCAGTGTGGAGAAGACGTTAAAGATATTCCCAAATATTGAGTTCAACCAATACCTCGTCTTGTGTAAAAGCAGAGGGACCACGAGAGTTGGCATCAGTTGCTTCTTCTATTCCTACCACTCTGATGTAAGGCTGCCTAACAGCAACTGCTCCCTTGTGACTACATAGAACCGAATAGAGTAAACATCGAAGTTAAGCAGTGAAGTGCAGTATACAAAGATATTAAAATATTCATCTAAAAGTAATAACAATCCTCACGATGTGGCAGAATTGGAAGCTTGATAGATGCTATAAATGCCCATGATGGTTAATCTTGTGCCAGGCACAATTGTCTGAACAAGATGACGGTCCACAGATAGAAGCATATTTCTTGGAAGCTCTCCGGTAGGTACATCCTTCATAAACCAAGGGGGTGAAAACCACTAATTAATGAACATTCCATAATTCAATTTGAACTTCGTTTCCTTAATAAATTAAGATCATCACCTCTGGATTCTCTTGCAATTTCAAGGTTTGCTGATCAACATACTTGCTCTTATCAGGAACCACAACCCACGGATCAAGCGGACAAGGCTCTTCTCCAGGCTAAACATTTCCAATCCCTTGTATTAGATGTCAAACTAGAAAAGAAAGCCAATCCAAGACAAATGCCGAAAGAAAGGAAGATAACAGGAATATAACAAACCTGAGGAATATGGTTGCAAGAGCGAGGGACGATTGCCCCACCAAGACCTGGCCGGCAAGGTACCCTCTGCACATTTTTACAGTTCTTACACATGACAATCACATAAGTCGCCTTCGCCTTGACCCTCGAAGCAGCTATAGTGATCCCGGAAACCTTGATGAGTTTTGATATGCATTGTGCCTACAATAATTTAAAAGCAAAATTATATATCATAACCAAACCATAAACTCCTAAAAAACCACCCCCCGATTCTCATTGCTCAAATAAACAACTTGTTATGTTCGATTAGAAATAAAAGTTTTATCATTTTCCCAAACTTTCTCATCAACCAAACAGAAGATACAAAGACCAAGCAAAAAAACAAAGAAACAACCAACCCCGAGCTGGCGCATGGACGCCGGGTCCTCTTTGGAGGTCAGCAAGATCTGAACATCCTCCGGCACCCGTTCCTCCAATTTCCCTTCGTTTCCGGGAACTTTCGTCTTCAAATTCGCCAAAACCTGACCGGCGGCGTTCTCAAACTACAAAATCGCCAAAATTAAAGCAAATCAAAATTAATTAACAGACAAAAAAATGATTAAATGAAATCGATAGGGGATAATTAACCAAGAGGTCAAGTTTTAACCAGAGGCAAGTAATCGGAGGGGGCAGAGCGGAGCTTTGCGACGAGGTCGGCGTCGAAAGAATCGAGGTCTTCAATGTCGACGAGAAGGTACTTAGGGTTGTGGAGGAGGCTCTCCCTGTAGGAGAACACATTTTTCTGGGTCTCAAAGCTTCGGATGAATTCCTTGAATTTCTGGAGGACCGAGTGGCGGGTGGCAGCTGCGGCGTTGCTTCCTGGGTCTCCTCCATCGCCGCCGAGAGACTGCGCTTGGTCGCTGTAATAGATCGCTCCTTCGTCCCACCCTGACATGACTCTGCTCTCTCTCTCTCTCTCTCTCTCTCTCTCTCTAGAATTACAATGTTAAGTCCCTCTCACTTTCTCTCTCTAAAATGCTCACTCAGTGGTCTAAAAAGGTCAGATGACTGGTAGGGCAACCGCGCGAAGGAGGAGTACGTCTTTTGGCGGGAAGAATTTGGCGGGAAAGAGGGCGAGGGTTTATCTGGCAGTGGCACGTGACGCAATGGTTAATAATGGACCAGTAAATTGGGCCGGACAGGGCGGCTCACCCTGGGGGGCAGAGGCCCAAGCTCTACTTGGCCTTTCTTTTTAAATTTATTATTACTAAGGGAAGAGCGAGGATTTGAGAGTATTACAATAACTTATGAGAGGATGAAGTTTCGAGCTCAAGACATATAAGTGAGAACCAACACCTTATCAACTAAAATATTGGACCACATGACATAATCCTAAATTGATACCAATCGTAAAGAGCTCGCGAGTAAAGCTTCGCCTATATAAAATGGCATATAAACAGAAGAGAAATGCTATTATGCTACTAGTTCCATGTGAGAGTGTTAAAGGACACAAAGTCGATAATATCGTGACGCTGTATATAAGGAAATATGACAATATTCTGTATATATATATATATATGTATGAAAATGCTCAATTGCCAAACAGTTTGGCACGTTATATTGTCAGACTGTCAATCTGAACCATTAATTACGTAAATTAATGGTAATTAAAGGTTCAGATTGACAATCTGACAATATAACAAGCCACATTGGCTGGCAAAAGAACATTTTAATACATATACATACATTTTATACGCAAACAAACATTTTGCACAATCTGTCAACATATATTTCGCGTTCAACCCACAAATCATCAAAAAACTAAAAACAAAAATAAAAAAGATTGTTCATCAGGCAAAGTTCCTCCCATCGCAAGGGCTAAAAGATGTTGTGGTTTAGCCACTCCTACATAAAACCTCTGTTTTTCAAGTACCAAAGTGCCCCTTCTGCCGCACTCTCTGCTGCTGCTTTCTTTTTCATATTAGGCTCTCCGAAGCACTCTAACAGCGTATCTGGATCTTCTTCTATCTTTACTACAGCCTTGTAGGTGAACCTGCAAAGGATTTGAATAACAAATCAATACAAAAAGTCTTGCTACAAACCGCAACTTAGAAAAATTAAAACAAAATGTAACATATGATATACGAGATGAAGGTGAACCTCGTACATTTTTATTTCAGTCTTCAATTAAGATTTTGATTCCTCAGAAAATATTCTTCTAAGTTTTAACACACCATAGTTTTATCACTATGTTGATAATATATACTTACAATTTTAAGTGGCTTGGTCCTTCTTCATTGCAGCACTCAAATAAGGGAGTTTCCCAGTAGTTAGCGGCACAAACTTCGTACAAACGAGATCTTGATGTTGCCGTGTGTGTACCTGGAAGATTTTCTAAGTAAGCAAATTTGAAAAGTATCCCATACTGATACCCTGTAAGTACAAGAAACATTAACAGTACCTCCGGACTGCGAGTTAGCATCATTCTTAGGATTTTCCCTGGTCTTATTGGGCCGCATTTTGACTGCTCCAGATGAAGATGGGGATTGTCGTACAGGTTTTCTGCAGGAAGAGTGACCATTTCTCTCTCGATTGATAGGATGCCCTTGGGAGTTAAAATTTCCGCGGGAAACTTCTTGTACATTTAAGTTATCAAATCCACTTGCATCAAGAAGCACAACATCTATTGGTGTTTCATCATATCCGATAAGTTTGGCTTCCATCTCGCTGCTTGACTTTAAGACTTCCTCCAATGAGTTAATCATAGGTATGTTGCCTTGAGCCTGCAATTCCGAGAATGATCCTCAAAATTAGAACTTTAATTACTGAAGGGGCTAGTTTTATACAGTTGAACACTTGAAGGAGCTAGTTTCTTAGGGTTGAACCCTAGCATATCAAACATAAAGCATACAGTTTTACCTTCAACTTCTCGAAAATCAGTTGTGCACAAATTCTTATTCCATCCTTTTTGTTCAAGCTGGTCGTAGAAGCAGATACACAAACATTATTCCCATTCACTGTTGCACGAACTGAATACTTTTTACCCATTTTTGTCGGTACAAACTCAAGACCCCATGAATGAGCTTGGCAAAGTTCACGTAGTTCCCTAATAGGACTAAGTTGCAAGCTGGAAAAGCTCATAATTGGTTTCAGAAAGGATAGCATTATCTCCCAAACACGATTCAAGTTGAACCCTGTATCAAGAAGAATTGCACCCAGACAGGACTCTACCAAGTCGCCCAGAGCCTGAAGCAATAAACTTAATCGTTAAAGATTCAGATGAAGTTAACACCTTATTAATACTCCCAAGGGAACATAGAAATCTAAAGGCATACCTTTGGACATTTGGGCCCATCAAGCAGACCTCTATCTGATGCAGCTTCAATAAAGCCCACATAACTTTCTATCGCCTCTGAAAGGCTACAGGAATCACTGATTAGAAACTTGTGGAAGGACCGATCTACTGCAACATTAGCAAAGGCTTTATTATTCACAGACACTGATCTCAAATCCGTTAATTGACCAGGCTTCAACTTTGGATAAACCGAATACAGGTATGAGGTGATCAAGTAATCCAAGACGGCATCCCCAAGAAACTCCAATCTCTGATAAAAACATCAAGGCAAAGAAAACTGAAGCAAGCATAATACAAATTGTTCGAGTGCAAGCTAGTTTGCCAAAGTTATTAGGCAGATGGGAAAATTTTTGGAAGTGAAAATGACAGTAGAGGGCATACCTGATAGCAGCCTCCTCCATGCTTGTTGTAAGAAGGATGTACAAATGCCTGTAAGAGCAGACCTCTGTGGAGAAACTTATAACCTAATGAATTTTCAAGGGCAGCAATGTCCATGCAAGCAGAAAGTGGGATGTATCTAGAGCTTGCTATGCATGCTTCGGTAACTTGTGATGGTTCGAAGTCTACTTGTATGCCAATCCACTTAAGAAATGCAGTTGCAGCTATAAAGCCACTGTCAACTACGAATGCTCCAACAAGGGCTTCAACAACATCAGCAATGGTTTTATTATATAACCAATGGTGACCCTTACTGCATCTGACCTCACTAGCACTTGTGTGATTTACATCACCAGATACGTCATGAGAATGAATAGCTCCTACTGTCTCCTTGTTACAAATTCTTGGGCAAGGACGGCCTAAAGCAAAGTACTGAGAGGGTTCAAATGGTTGATCCCGTATGTATACCTGAAAAGGGAGAGTACAATTATGCACTATAATTTGAGAAAAATTAAAAGCAAGTAAATGTAAAAGGTGCCTTGTATTTCACTGAATGATTTTCAATGTGACAGTGTAGAACATGAAGCATAGGTAACAAGAAGAAACTTTGCCAAAGACTTCAAAGAAACAAGTAGGGAGGTCGCTGAACTCGAGAGGGCAACATTGCACAGAAACATTTAATTTTGTGCAGATGATTATTACTTCCATAGAAGAGTAACATTTATTTCAGAGCTGTTTTTTAAGCATTTTGGAGGTAAGCATGTTTGTCACCTATAGAGATAATTGATAAACCATGAGAAATAACATCAGTGGATGGATTATTTGTGGCAACTAATGTCAGACACCAAGGAAACATTCAGAGATCAATATGTTTAAGTAGCGCCAAGAGATTATTGAATGAAAGTATGAAGCAACTGCAATATATCAAGTATCGACAGCAGTAAACCAGTGTGGAAACTTTTGGGAGAGACAGGTATAACATGGCTCACTGACCTTTTCAATAGGATTTTGAAAACGAAGAAGATGCCAAATGAGTGGCGAACGAGCACTTTTGTGCCTATCTACAAGAATAAGGGCGACGTACAAAATTGCATGAACTATAGGGGTATTAAGCTAATGAGTCATACAATGAAGCTCTGGGAGAGAGTCATTGAGCATAGATTGAGGCAAGAGACACGGGTTTCGGACAACCAATTCGGGTTCATGCCAGGGCGCTCAACCATGGAGGCAATCTATCTCTTACGAAGATTGATGGAAAGATATAGAGATGGGAAAAAGGATTTACACATGGTCTTTATAGATTTGGAAAAAGCGTATGATAGGGTCCCAAGAGACATTCTTTGGAGGATTTTAGAGAAGAAAGGAGTACGCGTAGCATATATCCAAGCTATAAAGGATATGTATGAAGGAGCAAAGACTGCCGTAAGAACTCATGAAGGACAAACCGAAAGCTTTCCCATAACTGTAGGATTACATCAAGGCTCATCCTTAAGTCCTTACCTTTTTGCGTTGGTAATGGATGAGTTAACAGGACATATTCAAGATGATATTCCTTGGTGTATGCTTTTCGCAGACGATATAGTGTTGATAGATGAAACTCAGGAAGGGGTAAATGCAAAGCTTAACCTTTGGAGAGAAGTGTTGGAATCTAAAGGTCTTCGCCTAAGCCGATCAAAGACAGAATATATGGAGTGCAAGTTCAGTGCAAATGGAGGCCAAAACGAGTTAGGGGTGAGGATCGGAGATCAAGAAATACCAAAGAGCGACCGTTTTTCGTTACCTAGGATCTATCTTGCAAAAGAACGGAGAATTAGATGGAGATCTCAACCATAGAATACAAGCTGGATGGATGAAGTGGAAGAGTGCATCCGGCGTGTTGTGTGACCGCCGTATGCCACTGAAGCTCAAGGGAAAATTTTATAGGACGGCAATAAGGCCGGCGATGCTGTATGGCACAGAATGTTGGGCGGTGAAACATCAACACGTACACAAAATGGGTGTAGCGGAGATGAGGATGCTTCGTTGGATGTGTGGGCACACGAGAAAAGATAAGATTAGGAATGAGGATATCCGGGGTAAAGTAGGAGTAGCAGAAATTGAAGGAAAGATGAGAGAAAATCGGTTACGGTGGTTTGGACATGTGCAAAGAAGGCCTACTGAAGCTCCGATTAGAAGATGCGACTATGGGACAGAGGTTCAGGGCCGAAGGGGTAGAGGAAGACCTAGGAAAACTTTGGAAGAGACTCTAAGAAAAGACTTAGAGTACTTGGATCTAACGAAGGACATGACACAGGATCGAGCACAATGGCGTTCTAAGATTCGTATAGCCGATCCCACTCAGTGACTTGGATTTTCCAAGTCTCCAACCGAGAAGTTTTCCTCACTCGGAAAATTAAGGGAACACTACCCCAACCTACATGCTCCACTCAGAAAGCTTCAACATACAAGCTTCAACAAAAGAAAATTCAAAGAACTTAGCGAAGAAGGCTTTGGTGTATTTAACACAATACGTTGAAATGAAGGAAAGCTTATTTATTGATATCCCCGATAAGCTACAAATATGTACATATACATGAGTCAAAATAAACACACAAGAGGGAGCCTTCACAAATGTTGCTTAGGAGAAGTCTCAGCAGTCGGTAGAGCCCCAGAAAGAGAAGGCACCGGAGGGGGATCATTTGGAGCCTCAGTACTGGACAGAACCCTAGAAGGAGGAGGCATCAGAGGTTGATCATTTGGAGCTTCATTACGCGGTACAGCCCCAGAAGACGAAGGCAATAAATGCCTTTGGAACAAACCCACAAATCTCTGATGATCAAGTAAAACCTGACCATCAGTTTCCTTCATCTGGTCAAGCTTCCTCTTCATGTTTGTAGCATAGTCATGTGCGAGCCGGTGCAACTGTTTATTCTCATGCTTGAGCCCCCTAATCTCCTGTTTGAGACTCATCACTTCAGCCGCCAATGATTCAACTTGGCGGGTTCGAGCAAATAGGCGTTGGGCCATATTAGACAC